CCTGTCCCTGGCGCCTTCTCAGTGCCCATTGTCTCCCCAGGGCTCTCTCTAGCAGGTTCAAAGGTATTTTCTTTTTTGCCAGTCCTGGGGCTTGAATTCAGGGCCTGGGCACTGTTTCTGAGCTTCTTTTGCTCAAAGCTAGCATCTACTACTTGAGCTTCAGTGTCACTTCCAGCTTTTTCTGTTTATGTGGTCTTTTCTTTTCTTTCTTTCTTCCTTCCTTCCTTCCTTCCTTCCTTTCGCCCGGTCGTGGGGCCTGGGCGCTGTCCCTCAGCTCTTCAGCTCAAGGCTAGCACTCTACCACTTGAGTCACAGTGCCACTTCTGGCTTTTTTTAAAAATCTGCTTACATGGTGCTGAGGAATCAAACCCAGAGCTTCATGCATGCAAGGCAAGCGCTCTACCACTGAGCCACCTTCCCAGCCCCCTCAGTGGTATTTTCTAAGCACGTGTTGCGATCCACACTGCATTTAGCACCGCAGACAGCCTCTCCTGGTGGCTGGCTTTCTGCTTTTGTTGAATTTTGATGTCCCTGCCTTTTGTATCATATTTATCTTCCGTGGACCCTGTGTTTCTCACATCACCCTCATCTTCCCAATGATCCTTTACTTCTCTAGGGCTTCCACCAAGGGATCCCTAGTCTGGGCTGAGCCTGAGCTCTTTGCTAACTGCAACCCACTCTGAAAATCACCTGCTTCAGGCATTTTTGCAGAATGGAGCATTATCCAGCCACAGCAGCAGTGGAGTAATGAGATCAAGTGAGGGCTCCTCTGTGGTTCCTGTTAAGTTTAAAAGCAGCCAACCCAGCCAGCACCAGTGACTACTCAGGAGGCTGAAGATCTGAGATTTGAGGTGTGGAACAGCCAGGCTAGGATGTCTCAGAGACTCTTATCTCTAACAAGGCCAGAAATGACACTGTAGCTCAAGTAGTAGAGTGCTAGCCTTGAGCAAAAGAAGCTCAGGGACAGTGCCCAGGCTCTGAGTTTAAGCCCCAGGATAGGAAAAAAAAAAAGTTCTCTTTACCTGACATGTAACTGTAATTCCTTTATAATAACAAAACAAAACAAAATGCCAACTAGAATGCAAGGCCCCAAGTTCAAGACCCAGTACTGATACACACGTATGCAAAAAGCAGCCAATTCAGCCAGAATAGCTTCCCTTTCCATTGGAGCCATTATGTGGCAGAGTAGGTCAGGGCCGAAGGGCCACAGAGGCTTGCTTCTGGATATGGTGTGTAGGCAGGATCTCCTGTGCAGTCCCTCAGCTGCTCAGAGGCTCAGTTCTTCAGTGTGCTGCTTGTACCTTGGCCAGAGTCTGCAACCAGACTGCAGCTGGGTGTCCTGCTGGTGTCCCGTTACTTCTTTCTGCATGCTCTGCTCAGCCTCCTCCCAGGACTATAGTTTGTCCTTACTGCCCTCCACTTTAGGGCCAACTTATCTCCAGGTCCTCTTCCCTTGAGACAATGTCCCCTGACCTTTAATCTACTCTGCCACTAAGGTTCACCCTTGTATCCTAACCTGCTTTCTTAGCATTGGTTTCTTCTCCTTAAAGCCTGTCTTCTGCTCTCTTGACACACTGTTCTGTATAAAATACTAATCTGACTATAGTAGTTTGCTGTTTAAGAATCTGAAGTGCTTCCTTCATCTCACCTGGACTCTGCAGTGGGACTTTGTCTACCAGGCATGTTCTACCTTTGGGCCTGCTGCCTACTCCCAGTCCTGAGCAAGCTGCCTCCCTTTCTAGGTTCTGATCAGGAATTGCCCCCTAGCTGGCTTCTTCTAAAGCAAGTGCTGTCCCGAATTTGACATGTCCTGTTGGCTTAGGTCCCAGTTACTCCAGGTCCCTGAGTGCTGGCACCCAGAGGCCTCTGTAAGGCCCAGAGGTTTGGAGGAAGGCAAGGAGGCATGGAGGGTGTCCATGGCCATTGCAGGTGCCTCCAAGTATGCACAGAACAGTAGACGTATCCCATACTCAGCTGTCACGAACTGGGTGCCCAATCTACGTCTCCTCTCAGATTCCAGAAATCAAAGCTTTTCCTGTTTCATTTCCTGTTTCATTGTTGTGTGTATGTAGAGAGATTATCGTGTGATTGATCTCTAGGAGTGTGCTGGGTCATAGACAGATTACCCCCTTATGGGTGTGGTTCCTTTCCTTTCCTGTCTATTTCTTTTGTGGTGGTAGGGTTCAAGCCTACTGCTCACTCATGCTAGGCAAGCTCCCTGCTCTGCTATGTTAGTGTTTCATTGCTGTAACAAATAGTTGAGAAAAGCAACTTAAGAGGAAGAAAGATTTATTTTTGCTGACAGTTTCAGACCATGGCCGGCTGTGTTGTTTCTGGGCGGAGCTGAATAGCCATGATGGTGGGAGGATGTGGATCTGCCTAACAGCAGGCTGTTACTCAGCTAACGGAGGCTGGAAGCAGAGAGAGACAGGAAGGGACCAAGTGTGTCTTCCAGGGCACAGCCCCTGTGATCTCCTTCCTTCAACTAGACCACATCTCAACACACAATCCTTTCTGGGAGACACTACATGTGCCCTTAGGAGTCTCACAGGTGACTGGACTTCCCCCCGCTCCCCCCCACTGCTGACCTTTTCCATTACACACCATGGTGATATTTCTATCTTTGGACCATCTAGGTAGAGGATATATCTCAGTTGTAGGGCTTCTTTTTTTCTTTTTCCTGTTTATTTATTTTGGTGGTCTTCTGCTGGAATCCAGGGCCTCACTCATCCTAGGCAGGTTCTCCCCACGGAGCCCGGACTCTGCTTGTAGTCTTTATTTGTCTTTTGGCAGAAATAAACAAGCAGTCTTTCCACAGGTCTCTCAGGCCTCTCAGCTTTTAGCCTTTAACTGACCGTCCTCTGTGATCTGTAGACCCAGGCTATCTACATAATAGGAGGAAATGAGATGTTTGTCTTCTTTGTGTTGTAAATATTTTCCCCAAGTTGTTCTTTAAAAAAAAAATTGCTGGCTGGGCACCGGTGGCTCATGCCTGTAATCCTAGTTACTCTGGAGGCTGAGATCTGAGGATCATGGTTCAAAGCCAGCCTGGGCAGGAAACTCCATGAAACTCTTTTTTTTTTTTGGGGGGGGGGGTCCGGTCGTGGGGCCTGAACCCTGGGCCTGGGCGCTGTCCCTCAGCTCTTCAGCTCAAGGCTAGCGCTCTACCATTTGAGCCACAGTGCCACTTGCGGCTTTTTCTGCATATGTGGTGCTGAGGAATCGAATGCAGGGCCTCGTGCATGCAAGGCAAGCGCTCTACCACTGAGCCACCTTCCCAGCCCATCGTCCACGGAACTCTTATCTCCAATAAACCACCAGAAAACCGGAAGTGGTGCTGTGGCTCAAGTGGTAGTGTGTGCTCGCCTTGAGCTGACAAGCGCAGGGGCAGGGCCCAGGCCCAGAGTTCAAGCCCCATGACAGACAAAAAAAAATTAATACAGCCAGGTGCTGGTGGCTTATGCCTGTAATCCTAGTTGCTCTGGAAGCTGAGATCTGAGGATCGTGTTTCAAAGCCAGCTCAGGCAGGAAATCCATGAGACTCTTATCTCCAATTAACCACCAGAAAACCGGAAATGGCACTGTGGCTCAAGTGGTAGAGAGCTCGCCTTGATCTGAAAAGCTGAGGGACAGCGCCCAGGCCCAGAGTTCAAGCCCATGACTGGCCCCCCCTCCCCCCCAAAAAATTAATGCAAGCTGGGCACTGGTGGCTCACACCTGTCGTCCTAGGTACTCAGGAGGCCAATAATAATAATAATAATAATAGCTGGGAAGGTGGCTCAGTGGTAGAGCGCTTGCCTTGCATGCCTGAGGCCCTGGGTTCGATTCCTCAGCACCACATAAGCAAAAAGAAAAGAACCGGAAGTGGAGCTGTGGCTCAAGAGGTAGAGTGCTAGCTTTGAGCTGAAGAGCTGAGGGACAGCCCCAAGTCCAGAGTTCAGGCCCCATGACCGGACCCAAAAATAAATAAATAACAATGGTAATAATTAGTACAAAAAAAGGGCTGGATGTTGGCTTAGCAGTAGAGCATCTGCCAAGCAAGCATGAAATCCTGAGTTCAAACCCCAATACTACCAAAAAATATATATATTTATGGTATTTTTCTTTTTGAAAGTTAATATTTTAAGTCAAAACATCCTTTTTGAATCATATAAAAAAACCCTTTACTACTTTATAATTGATGAAATAATACTTTTTTTCTTTTACTACTTTTATGGTTTTACATTTTCCTTTACTTTTGGTTTAGCCATCATTGATTTTGGTATAAGGCCGTGGTGAATATTTTACTCTTTCAAAAATTTTCCAGGCTGAGGAAGTGGCTCAGTGGAGAGCTTACCTAGCATATGCAAAGTTCTAGGTTTATGTTTCAGTGATGCAAAAATAAAAAAGTTTTCTGATAGTTTGTATAGCAATATGAAATCATTATACTGAATATAAAAACTTTGCTGAAGAAAGAAACAGTGTTTTAGAATTCCCATGAAAGGATTTGTTGCTCCCATTAATCTCTCTCTCTTTTTTTTTTTTTTTGTCGGTCATGGGGCTTGAACTCTGTCCCTGTGCTCTTCAGCTCAAGGCGAGCGCTCTACCACTTGAGCCACAGCACCACTTCCAGTTTTCTAGTGGTTTATTGAAGATAAGAGTCTCACAGACTTTCCGGCCTGTGCTGGCTTTGAACCGAGATCTTCAGATCTCAGCCTCCTGAGTAGCTAGGATGACAGGTGTGAGCCACCGGCACCCGGCTTCCATTAATCTCTTAAGGCTCGTTTCACTTGCCTGGGCACTAGGGACAGCCAAGCATGGAACAGAGAACAGAGCCAGATAGCACGGTCTGCACATCATCCCTTGGCTCTGTATCTACAATTTTGGATAAGGTTAGAAAAGTATAAAAAAAAATGTTTCCAATGAGATATGACCTAACACAAGTACTCTAAATGTGCCACTGGCTGCAGGAAGGGTACTCAGGGGTCCTGATGGTCTCTTTTCCGCTCACTGTTTATTAGGGGGGACCTGACAGAAGATAACATGGAGACAGAGAATGCAGCAGCTGCAGCTGCAGCAGCCTTCACAGCCACCTCGCAGCTCAAGGAAGCGGTATTAGGTAGGAAGCCATGTTAGGCGGGAAGCCTGTCTTCTGTGTGCTTTGTGGCTGGAGGACCAGAACAATCCTGTGATTGTGATATGTAGCAGCCAAAACCAACAAGGCTTCTCTTGCCCTGTTCCCCAGTGTGTGGAGGTCAGGCTGGGTCTTTCCAGGTGGGGCATGTAGTCTGGTGACAACCAGACTGGTGGGAAAGACGAAGAGGGCTCACCCAAATCTTCTCGCTTTCTCTCCTTTTAGGTTTGTTGTTTTGTCACCACCCCTGTCTATTTGCTGTGACTATCAGTGAATGATACCAGGTGTTCTTTTAACACCTGTAGGATTCTGCCCAGATTAAAGGTCCTTGGGTGCTGAGACCCAATTTTACTACCATTTTTTCTACCAAAACTTAATTTTATTTCCCTAGGTGTCCTTAGTTGACCAATAGTTCCATGGAATTAGTCAATGTCTGTCATTTGTTACTCTAACAGCTAAATCTATTCTGTACATTTGCCTGAAACTCTGACTGGGACTCTTGGGAACCCCTCCCCACCATGACTCTGTTTCCAATCTTCCTGGATCTTAGTTTTGGCTCCCATGTTAGCAACTACTTTCTGTATTGGCACAAAACTCTTTGGAAAGATTGTAACTGATTTTCTGTTTTTGTCCTTTCTTATCAATTCGCTCGTGAGAAGTGAAGATGGCTGAAGAGGGGGAGAACTTGGAGGCTGAAATTGTATACCCCATCACCTGTGGAGATAGCAGAGCTAACCTGATCTGGAGAAAGTTTGTCTGTCCTGGCATCAATGTGAAATGTGTTCAGGTAAGGGTCTGCATGTCTGTTGGTGGGAGCCTGTCCTGTACTGGAATTCCAGGAATTAGAATCCCCTGGGACAGATAGGGAACAGCAATGAAGAGATTCTAGTGGGAGTAATTCTTTTTATTTTTGGCCAGTCCTGGGGCTTGAACTCAGAGCCTGGACACTGTCTCTGAGCTTCCTTTGTTCAAGGCTAGCACTCTACCAGTTGAGCACACAATGCTACTTCTGGCTTTTTCTGAGTAGTTTTATTGCGGCCCAGGCTGGCTTCATACTGTGATCCTCAGATCTCAGCCTCTTGAGTAACTAGGATGACAGGCGAGAGCCACTGGCACCTGGCAGTGATTCTTATTCAATAGATTGAAGTGGTGAGAACAAGGGGAGGCAGCACTGCGTGGGGTTGAAGCTGTGGCCTCTGACTTGAAAGTGGCACCATTTGGCAGACTGAGGTCTGGGGGAAGCTGAATGGAAAGGGCAACGTGGTGATTAGTCACTCGGACTCACCATTTTGTTGCAAACAGGTAAAAAGTCCCATGAAGGCATTTTTGTAAAGCATCTTCCAGATCCTAAGAAAAGGCCCTGGGCAAGTGAGGGCAGAGTGGTGCAGGGAAGCAGAGTGCTAGGCCTAGCTCTACATGAGAACCTTGTGGGTTGGGGGTGAGAAGATGGAGCTCGGTTTCCCAAGGACGTGCGTGGGCCACCAAATAAAAGCAGTGACGTCTTCCCTCCTCACCTGCCCTAAGCAGCGGCATTCCTGCTGCCCTCTGAAGGCAGACATCTTCCGCAGCACTCACAGCAGCCAGGGTCAGAGCCACCATCAGAGGAAAGCTTAGTAAGTGATTCCTGGCTGGCATTCCCTCACCATTGGACAGAAGCAAATGAAAATCCTCTTTGGAGCAATTCTTTTCTCTGATTTAAATGATTTCTGGGAAAATCTAAGAAAAGAAACAGCTCACAGGGAAATAAACGTAAGTACTTGTCTAGATATGGGTGCAGGTACACACCTCTAGTTTCAGCTCCTTGGGTAGCAGAGGTGGAAGGATTGAGGTCTGAGGCTAGTTCCAAGCAGAGAGATGAGACCTTAACTGAAAACACTAAAGTAAGAAGGGCTAGAAGTGTGGCTTTAGTGGCAAGGGTAAGGTTCCAAGTTTAGCCTCCAGTACCACTGGAAACAGACAAACATGCGCTACACTAAAGGAAGCACGGTTCCTTGCTTGAGCGTGTGTGGAAGCAGTATGCAGTGGAATCAGACCCACAGAAACTTTGGATGTCAGATTTTTTTTCCCTTGCAGTGCTGAAGATCAAACCCTCTACCTCACACATGCTGGGCAAGTGCCTACCATTGAGCTACGCTCCAGCCCCAGGCATCAGGATTTAAGAAACAGAATATTTAAAAATTTAAGCTTAAGGAATAAAATTCTGAACACGAGTAAAGCATATAGGTTTCACAAAACTCAAAAGCTCAAAATGAAGAATAGAATTAGAATTAAATACTTAGAGGGAAAGTTTCAAAGACTTGACATAGCTAAGAGATATTTAGTGAGCTGGAGAATAGGCCCAAAGAAGCCATCTAGAATACAGTCCACAGATGCAGGAAGGTGGCAAATAGAAACAGGCAATATCTATTTGTAAAGAAGGAGGTTGAAGCCAGGCGCTGGTGGCTCACACCTGTAATCCTAGTGACTCAGAAGGCTGAGATCTGAGGATCTCGGTTCAAAGCCAGCCCAGGCAGGAAAGTCCATGAGACTCATATATCCAATAAACCACTCAGAAAACTGGAAGTGGCACTGTGGTTCAAGTGATAGTGCTCATCTTGAGCTGAAGAGCACAGGGACAGCACTCAGCCCCACGACCGACAGGAAAAAAAAAAGAGAGAGAGAGATTGAAGACTTCAGGAGGGAGAACCAAGTCCACTCTTTGTTCAAGACAGATTCCATACTGAGCTAATAGGCTTTATAGCTTCCAGCTGGTACAATTTGAGATTAAAATAAGTAACAGTAGGCGGAGACTATAGCTCATTGACATGGAACACTTGCCTAGCAAATGTAAGGTCCTGGATTCAATCCCAAGCCTCACAAGAGGAAATGAAACAGTAGTCATGGATTATAATTTGATTAGGAGAAAAATCTGAGTTCATATTTATTATGGTATGTTTTAGGCCAGTTAATCTTTGTTAACATATATTAGTTGTGCAAGGAGGGTATTCATTATGACATTTCTACACTTGTATAAGGGTATCCCAATGAGTCTCACCTCCTCTGTCACTTTTTCCTACTCTTTTCTCCCTGTTTCATCAGGTTTCATTGCTTCATCCTCAATTACTCCCCCCTTGTTTGGTCACCCCTTTCCTGTTGGTACCAGACCACTTTCCCTCAGTGGAGCCTGCTTTACTTTCTTGTACTCTTTAAAAAAATTTTTAATGTGTACTGATTACACTAAGGAGTTTCTCCATGATATTTCAGACATGCATATATTGTGCTTTTCATGCCATTTATTTTTACATTAAATGTCCTTAGATATAATAAGTACACACTCAGGGAAAGGTAAAGCACTCACGTGATGTGAGAATACCAGGTAACAAATGTGGAAGGAGTAGTGGGCCAAGACTCCTCAGTGGATGCTCAAACTATATTGAGGTAAGGTGGGGGTGGGGGGGGGGATAGTCTGAGAGTATCCCTCACAGATTACATAGTAATTCAGAGAGAAGGCCCTGGTGGGGAAGCTGGCAAGATGCCTTCCTGCCCAGGTGGTGCATATCTACATTCTCAGTATTGGACAGTGCTGTATTGATAGAATAGACAGGCAGGAGTTACTGGGTATTCTGTTAAAAATTCACTGCATTACCCTATTACTAAGACTACCTCAGACACACAGTGAGAGACACTGGGCTTCAAAAACGCCCAGATGGCTGGGTGCTGGTGGTTCATACCTGTAATCCTAGCTAGTGAGGAGGCTGAGATCTGAGGATTGCAGTTCAAGGCCAGCCCCAGCAAGAAGTCCATGAATGATTTCTCTCCAATTTACCACTAAAAAACTGAAATTGGCACTGTACCTCAAAATGGTAGAGCAAAAGAAGCTCAGGGACAGTGCTCAGGCCCTGAGTTCAAGCCCCACAACTGACAAAGAAAAACCAAAAAAAAATTCCTAAGTGGCTGGATGCTGGTGGCTCACGCCTGTCATCCCAGCTACTCAGAAAGCTGAGCTCTGAGGATCGTGGTTTGAAGCCAGCTCTGGTAGGAAAGTCTGTGAGACTCTCCAATTAACCACCAAAAAGCTGGAAGTAGAGTTGTGGCTCAGTAGGTGGTAGCCCCCCAGGAGCCAGCAATTTACCTCTCTTCAACCCATTTGTTTTCTAAGTGGAAGCAGATTAATTTCTTTCTCTTTTTTTTTTTTTGGGTGTGTGTGTGTGTGTGTGTGTGTGTGTGTCAGTCACAAAGCTTGAATTTAGGGCTTGGGAGCTTTCTTTCCCTGAGCTTCTTTTCCTTGAGGCTACCACTATATCACTTGAGCCACAGCTCCACTTTGTCTTTTTTGGTAGTTTAATGGAGATTATAGTCTCCATAGACTTTTTTGCCCAGGCTGGCTTTGAACTGAGATCCTCAGATCTCAACCCCCTGCATAGCTAGGATTATAGGTGTGAGTCATTGACACCCAACTCTTTTTCTTTCTTTCTTTTTTAAAATACAAGATTGAATAGACTATTTCACCTTTCTTGGTTTTGTTTTGTTTTGTTTTCTGGCGTTACTGAGGTTTGGCCTTAGGGTCTCATTCATACTTGCTAGGCAGGTGTTCTAGAACTTGAGCCATACTCAGCTTCTTTTTCCTTTGGTTATTATTTTTAAAATATAATTTTATTCTTATTGTTAAGGTGTTGTGCGGAGAAGTTACCATTTCATAAGTCAGATAATGAATATATTTCATTTTTTGGAAAATATCACCCCTTCTTTCACTTCCTCCCAATTTTTCCCTCCTATTCCTCCCCACAAGTTACATAGTTCAGTTTCTTCTTTTTTTTCTTTTTTCTTTTTTTGCCAGTCCTGGGGCTTGAACTCGAGGTCTGGGCTCTGCCCCTGAACTTCTCTGTACTCAAACCTAGCGCTCTATCAATTGAGCCACAGCGGCACTTCCGACTTTTTCTGTTTTTGTGGTACTGAGTAATCAAGCCCAGGGCTTCATGCATGCTAGGCAAGCACTCTACCACTAAATCACATTCCCAGCCCATGCAGTTCATTTTCCTCATAGTATATACTGAACAGCATGATTGCATTTGTTCACCTTTCCTCCTTCCCTTTCTGTACCTCCCCTAAAAAAATCCACAAGCAAAACCAAGCATCACTACCACCACCACCAACAACAACAGCAACAAAAACCATGTTTCCATTTCTTTCTTTCTTTTCTTTTTTTTTTTTTTTGTCGGTCGTGGGGCTTGAACTCTGGACCTGGGTGCTGTCCTTAGCTGTTCAGCTCAAGGCTAGTGCTCTCCCACTTGAGCCACAGTGCCACTTCTGGCTTTCTGAGTGGTTTATTGGAGATAAGTCTCATGGACTTTCCTTGCCAGGTTGGCTTTGAACTGCGATCCTCAGATCTCAGCCTCCTGAGTAGCAAGGATTACAGTTGTGAGCCACCAATGTCGGGCTCCATGTTTCCATTTCTTGGAGTTTTAAGTGTTCATTCAGAAAAGTTACACTTTTGTGTTCCTCCTTTAGTCTGTCTGTGTATATGAATGCCTAGAGTCCTATATAGTTTATCATGTCCAGTTAGATTTTAGATCTAGCTTCTACATATGAGAGAAAACATGCGCCATTTTTCTCTCTGAGCTTGGCTTGTCTCAGCAGGATTTGTTCTAGGTACATCCATTTCCCTGCAAATTACATAATCCTATTCTTTTTAATGGATTAGTTAAATGTACCACATTTTAATGATTCACTCATCTGTTCTAGGGCATCCCAGCTGTACCGCTGGTGAGAATGTAAACTAGTTTAACCACTCTATTAGGTGGTTTAGAGATGCCTCAAAAAACTAAACATAGGCCGGGCGCTGGTGGCTCACGCCTGTAATCCTAGCAACTCAGGAGGCTGAGATCGGAGGATCGCGGTTCAAAGCCAGCCCGGGCAGGAGAGACTGTGAGACTCCTATCTCCAATAAACCACCAGAAAACCGGAAGTGGCGCTGTAGCTCAAGTGGTAGAGCGCTCGTCTTGAGCTGAAGAGCTGAGGGACAGCGCCCAGGCCCAGAGTTCAAGCCCCACGACCGACAAAAAAAAAAACAAAAAACAAAAAACTAAACATAGCTGGGTGCTGGTGGCTCACGCCTGTAAGCTGCTCAGGAGGCTGAGATTGAGGATCATGGTTTGAAGCCAGCCTGGCAAGGAAAGTCCATGAGACTCTTATCTCCAATAAACCACTCAGAAAACCGGAAGTGGCACAGTGGCTCAAGTGGTAGAGCGCTCGCCTTGAGCTGAAGAGCTGAGGGACAGACAGCGCCCAGGTCCAGAGTTCAGGCCCCATGACTGACAAAAAATAATTTTTTTTTAAATAATAAAAAAATAAACATAGAACTTCCCAAGATCCAGCCATCATTACAAGCATCCATGCTCACAATAGCCAAGTTAAGGAAACAGCCCAGACGGCCTTGGTTTTTGTTTTTGTTTTTGCCAGTCCTGGGGCTTGAACTCAGGGCCTGAACACTGTCCCTGAGCTTCTTTTGCTCAAAGCTAGCACTCTACCACTTGAGCCACAGCGCCACTTGCAGCCTTTTCTGTGTATGTGGTACTGAGGAATCGAACCCAGGACTTCATGCATGGTAGGTAAGCACTCCACCATTAAGTCACATTCCCAGCCCCTTTGGTTTTTTTTTTTTTTTTTTTTTTAAGGTAAAGTCTCACCTTTTTGCCCAGAGCTAGCTTTATATCAAAATCCTTCCACCTCAGGCCCCTCATAGGTGGGTTCACAGGCGCCTGCCATCATGCCTCACGTACCGATTGAGATGGCATCGTACTAAGCTTTTCCTAGGCTGGCTTAGCACCGTGATCTTCCTGACCACTGCTTTCTAAACAGTTGGGATTCTAAGCATGAGCCACCACATCTGAGCCTTTCGCAAGCTTTCTGTCCTCAGCTAGGAGAAAGAGCTACCAACATATAGAACCTCCTCAGCTAGGAGAAAGAAGTACCACTCTGGCTTTGAAATGAGTGTATGAGCATCATCTAAGATGGGCGCTGTGCTTCCCGTACTATCTGTGGCCCTAGGAACGGCTTGGCCGATAAGGGGGAGGGCCGGTCGTAGTGTAGATGAGGAGCAGGCCTGGCCACTCGCAACAGTCGATACACTTGGATCTGTTGTTTACCATTACATATTAGATGTAGTCAAGGCATGTACTACTGAGTGGAATAAGTTGCACCTGAGGAGGTTGTATGTTTCATCTGGAAGGAAACAGTGCACCTCGGCTTTCTGCTCCAGGACTGCTCCTCCCTGAAGCCCCTTCTCCTCCCACTGGTACACTGAGTTCACTTTGTGGGGCTGTGGGGGCTGTGTCAGGTAGAGAGTTGGTGCCTGCTCTGTCCACTGGGATATCTTCTTGTTATATGTGAGTGTTCTACAGTAAGGCCTGTCGCTGGCTGAGCCAGCCATGAACTGGTAAGGCACTGGCAGGAAGGGCGAGAGGGCGTGCTGTGATCCCACCAGACCCACCCCAGGTTTGCTAAGCTGACCCTGCACTGGTGTGCTTTTCTCCAGTATGATGAGCATGTAATCAGCCCGAAGGAGTTTGTGCACCTGGCAGGGAAGTCCACCCTGAAGGACTGGAAGAGAGCCATCCGGATGAACGGCATTATGCTCAGGTGGGCACCAGGCCAGTGGTGACAGTGGGGGTGGAGGGGTTCACAGCCATTGCTTTTTCATTTGGTTGTGTGTGTGTGTGTGTGTGTGTGTGTGTGTGTGTGTGCGTGCATGCGCGCATGCATGCATGCATGCACACTGATCCTGGGACTTGAACTCAGGGCTTGGGTACTATCCCTGAGCTTTTGTACTCAAGACTAGTGCTCTACCACTTGAGCCACAGCTTCACTTTGGCTTTTTTTTTTTTTTTGGGTCCGGTCGTGGGGCCTGAACTCTGGGCCTGGGCACTGTCCCTCAGCTCTTCATCTCAAGGCTAGTGCTCTACCACTTGAGCCACAGTGCCACTTCCAGCTTTCTTTTTTCTTTTTGCTTATGTGGTGCTGAGGAATCGAACCCAGGGCCTCAGGCATGCAAGGCAAGCGCTCTACCACTGAGCCACCTTCCCAGCCCTACTTTGGCTTTTTTGCTAGTTAATTGGAGATGAGTCTCATGGACTTTGCTACTCAGGCTAGCTTTGAATTGCTATCCTCAGATCTCAGCCTCCTCAGTAGTTAGGATGACAGGCTCCTAGTTGATCTGGGTTTTTGAACTTAAGATAGATTTTAGAAGTGGTTTGTGGCAATAGCTCCTCTTGAGTGGCTAACCACAGGTTGTAGGTTCCCCCCACCCTTCCAACAATGACTGTCAGATGAGGCTTTTGTTGTTGTTAAATCTCTGTCTCTCTCTCTCTCTCTCTTTTTTTTTTTTTTTTTGTCAGTCATGGGGCCTGAACTCTGGGCTTGGGCGCTGTCCCTTAGCTCTTCAGCTCAAGGCTAACACTCTACCACTTGAGCCATGTAGTGCTGAGGAATCAAACCCAGGGCCTCATGCATGCAAGGCAAGCACTCTACCACCAAGCCGCCTTCCCAGCCCTGTTAAATCTCATTTTAATTTTCAACAATTATTTTTTTGTTGTTACTGTTGTCGGTCATAGGTCTTGAACTCTGGGCCTGCACGCTGTCCCTCAGCTCTTCAGCTCAAGGCTAGCACTCTACCACTTGAGCCACTGTGCCACTTCTGGTTTTCTGAGTGGTTAATTGAAGATAAGAGTCTCATGGACTTTCGTGCCCGGGCTGGCTTTGAACTGCGATCCTCAGATCTCAGCCTCCTGAGTAGCTAGGATGACAGGTGTGAGCCACCAGCGCCTGGCTCAACAATTCTTTACCATAGGCACTCCTGGGGCTATGTCACTACCAAAATAAATTAATGGTATCATTTGTTTTTTTGTTTTTTCCATCAGATAGACATTCAGGTTTAATCTCTTAGGTTGGCCTTTTACATCATCTTTATTTTTGTCCTTTTTATTCCTCCTTCTTTTTCTCCTGGTACTGGGGCTTATACTCCAGGCCCTAGGACTCATGTGGCTTTTTTGCTTACAGCTGGTGCTTTACCACTTGAGTCCCTTCTATCACTTCTTATTAAAACCCATGTGAGATACAGATAGTTGACTTGCATTCTTTGTGAACCAAGAGCCACGCCAGGCCTGTGCACTTAGGAAGGTGCCAGTGGCTGTGTCTACCTTGCTTCCTAAGCAGGTGGACTACTTTGTGTCAGAGTCAGACTTGGGCCTCATAGTAACTGGCACTGGGTCCTTTCCCATAGCTCTCAGTCCCATACCACCAAGCTACCTTCTGGTTTCTAGAATATCTGATGGCATAGTTGTGGAAGCCATGGGCTATGGGAGGTATGTTGTGAGCTACACATGTTTCTAAGGATATCGCTGCGCTGCAGGGTGAGTGGAGCTAGAACTTTTGACTCTGTGCTTACAGGCTAGCTGAGGCCCACTGAGCTTAGATCCAAGACTGCGGCAGAAGCAGGCAGGTCTGGGAGGACAGGTCTTGGTAGATGAGGACCCGTGTTTGCCTTCCTGCTACAGGAGGAGAATAGCCCTCTCCCAGGGTTTGTGGGTCTCCTTTCCTACCTGCATCTTCCAAAAGGAGGCTTTCCCTGAAGGCAATTCATGCCCACTTGTCTGCCACAGAGCTGGGGCACTCACCACCTTCGTTAGTCGAGGGCCTGCTACTCCAGTGGCCTGGTGATGATGTAGACCAGGCACCTCCAGCTTCCTGCCAGCCAGTACTCTCCCCTTCCCGTGGGCAGAGTGCCTTACCCCAGTGGCCTGGGGTAGCTGCCCGATGGACAGCATGTTCCCATTAAAGCTTGTTTGCACAGGGGTGGGTACAGCCCATACCCCACCTCACAAGAGCGCGGCCCTGGCCGGTGCTCTGCTGAACAGTCACCACATCCCAGTGGGCAGCAGGGTGTCTCGGTTTGGTTCTCATCTGGGCTGCTGTGTCATCTCTACAGGAAGATCATGGACTCTGGAGAGTTGGACTTCTACCAGCATGACAAAGTGTGCTCCAATACCTGCCGCAGCACCAAGATCGACCTCTCTGGGGCCCGCGTGTCCCTGAGCAGCCCCACGTCCGCCGAGTACATCCCGCTCACGCCAGCAGCGGCAGATGGTAGGTGCAGGGGGGGGCTGTCTGTGTCCGGTCAGCACAGCTGTCCTGACCTATCTCCCTCTGACTGCTGTGTGTGCATCTTAGCTGTCCCCATCTTGGGGGCTCTTCCTCCTCCTGTCTGGGGAATTGTTGGGCTTATTGACAGAGAAGGTGAACGTATTCTTTTCAGACACTTCATTATTAACTTGTAATCCGTATGTAGAGAGGGTACTGAGAACAGTAAAGGCGCTGCCTGTGCCGAAGGCTCCTCCCTTCCAAGGCCTGTCCTGAGGTATGGCGTCTCCCCCTCCGTAGGCCATTTGCAGAGCCTCAGGGCTTATCAGGCCTCTTGTGAGTGTTTGGCTGCAAGTCTCCTCTGCCACTTGGGTTTTGGTTGATGATTTAGGGAACTCTTGATCTCCCTTGTTCAGAACTGTAGATGGATTGAATATTCCCTGGAACTCTTTCTAGATTCTGAATGAGAAATTCTGTTTAAACTGAGCAAAGTGAAGTTAGTCCTGAGTCATAGTCACATTGCTTGGTTGGAAAATGTGTTTTGCAGCACTGCTGTCCCTAGCAGTCACTCCTCAGCATTGGGCCGAGATGAGCATCCTTGTTGCCCACTGAGGCCAGTTAGGTGCTTTGACACTTCACTGTTGGGAAGGGTGGCCTGAGGTCCTTCTGTTCTGCCCATGTGTTCTTCCCTGCATCTGTCCTGGCAGGCTGGCTGGTTGTCGTGCGGCTGTCTTCCCTCAGAGGAATGGTCTTTGTTATCCTTTCCTCAGTCTGTGGTTAGCTACAGTAACCCGCGGTCTGTCACTTAGCTTCTTTCTGCACCAAAGCCCGAGGCTAGGCACTGGGGGGTTGAGGGCAGAGACCCTCCTGGGACGCACTGTACACATGAGGCAGGGCAGCGCGGAGGTGGTTAGGAGCTAGTGGCCACCGCAGGGGTTGAGCCCAGGGCCTTCTCACCTGCTTATTAAAGCTGGCCATAGCCCAGCTGAGGCCGGTGAGTGGCTCTGAGCACATTTAGTGTGCTGGCTAAGAGGTATTAAGTACACTCGGAACATCACACTTTTCAAACTGGTGATGTGCTTATCAATATGTAACCTCATCTTGTTTTTTTGTCGGTCGTGGGGCTTGAACTGTGGTCCTGGGCGCTGTCCTTGCGCTCTTCAGCTCAAGGCAAGTGCTCTACTGCTTGAGCCACAGCGCCACTTCTGGTTTTCTAGTGTTGTATTGGAGATAAGAGTCTCACAGACTTTCCTGCCCGGGCTGGCTTTGAACTGCAATGCTCAGATCTCAGCCTCCTGAGTAGCTAGGATTACAGGTGTGAGCCACCAGCGCCCAGCTTGTAACCTCATCTTTACTGGAGGAACATCTGTTCACTTATTTCTTCAAGCCTTAGTGGTCAGCCAGAATGTCAACCTAATGGGATTGTTTTGTGGGGCACATGCAAAATTTGGATAGAATTACTACATAATGATCAACAAATAGTGGTATCTTGACGAAAAAGGCTGGCTATGTATGACTGGTTGGTACAAATTGTACCACAGATACCAGCTCCTGAGGAGTGGCATCTGAGCCTCTAAGACTGAAGCCCTAGGAAAGGCAGCCAGGATTAAGAATTAGCTCTTCTTGGGGCTGGGAAAGTGGCTCAGTGGTAAAGTGCTTGCCTTGCATGCATGAGGCCCTGGATTCGATTCCTCAGCACCACATAAGCAGAAAAGGCTGGAGGTGGCTCCATGGCTCAAGTGGTAGAGTGCAGGCCTTGAGCTGAAGAGCTCAGGACAGCACCTGGGCCCAGAGTTCAGGCCCCAGGACCGACAAAAAAAAAAAAAGGAATTAGCTCTTCTGAGCTCTGATGGCTCACACTTGTAATCCTAGCTACTCAGGAGGCTAAGATCTGAGGATCACGGTTCAAAGCCAGCCCGGGCAGTCCATGAGACTTACTTCCAATTAACCATGAAAAAACTGGAAATGGAGCTGTGGCCTAAGCCAAAAGCACTCAGGGACAGTGCCTAGTCCTTGAGTTCAAGGCTTATGACTGACTTAAAAAAAAAAAAAAAAGATTTAGCTCTTCTGATGGTTTAGTCTCTAACTTGGAACCTCTCAGATCCTCTAATTTGGTTTTTATATGGCTAGTAAGTTTCAGACAGGCTCAATCTATGAAACACATGCATGTATGTCCAAGTTGATTCTGGATATGATATTCACAAGCACGATATCTTTTTGTTGTTGATCCTGGAGTTTAAACTCAGGGCCTGGGTGCTGTCTCTGAGCTCTTTTTGTTCAAGGCTAGCACTCTATCACTTTGAGCCACAGCTCTATTTCCAGTTTTCTGGAAGATAAGAGTCTAATATACTTTCCTGCCCTGGCTGGTTTTGAACCAGGATCCTTAGATCTCAGCATCCTGAGTAGCTAGGATTGCAGGGGCAAGCTGCCAGTGCCCAGCCAACAGTGCATCTTTGATTCAAGTGGAAAAGGCCAGTATAGGGTTGGAAAGCTGGAGGCTGGGAAGGTGGCTCCGTGGTAGAGTGCTTGCCTTGCATGCATGAGGCTCTGGGTTCGATTCCTCAGCACCACATAAGCAGAAAAAGCCAGAAGTGGTGCTGTGGCTCAAGTGGTAGAGTGCTGTCTTGAGCACAAAGAAGCTCAAAGACAGTGCCCAGGCCCTGAGTTCAAGCTCCAGGACTGGCTAAATAAATAAATAAACACACATCTGCCTATTTTCTTTTTTTTATTGTGAAAATACTGTACAGAGGGGTTACCATTACATGAGCAAGATAATGAGTACATTTCTTATCAAGCATTGTAGCCTCCTCCTTTGTTTCCCCTTCCCATCCCATCCTCCCCCCTCCCCACCCCCGACACCTGCCTATTTTCTGAGCCTGCTTCTGAGCCAGGTTGGCACATGAAGCCTCTGTCAGAAACTCCAGAACTGCTAAGTGCAAATTGTATGGACAGTTGGGTTTGTAAACACTGGAAATGAAGTCAGGGATAAGTCAGAATGGATGATTCATTAAACTAGAAATGTAGAAATGTGACAGGCTCTAGCATTATTGTGTCATCAATGAGACATATGGCAACCTGGTCCTCCAGAGAGAGGCGAGGCAGGCCAAGGGCCTGCTGGTGGTCAGCACAGAGGCTTGTAGTGTCAAGTTGCAGACGGTTCAGCAAAATATTACCAGTTGCCAGAGCTGGGAAGAGATCTATGATTAAAAATAAACTCCCTGTGAGATAGGAAGTCCTGTGGACACCCTAGTCTGGTTATGTTTGTCAGTTCTGTGAAAATGGGCGGCAGAGGGGTTTAGGTGTAGCCCTGAGGAGATGGGCCCGGGAGGCCGTGGGAGCGCCATGAACAGCACACCGTCTGTGCTCTGCTTCTCCTCAGTGAATGGCTCCCCCGCCACCATCACCATAGAGACTTGTGAGGACCCTGGTGACTGGACCACAGCCATTGGAGGTAGGGGGTCTGTGGGCTCTTTGGGAGCATGGGTGGGCTCATGGGGAACCGCTTGCCTCTACTGTATCCCACACAGGGGCTCCAGCCTCAGGGCATCCTAAGTGCTCCAGTCTCTGCTAGGTGCCCCGAGGCAGAGCTCAGCCATGGTCCACTGGATTTAGACTCTTGTGGCAATGTCCTTGTTTTCTCTTTCCTGCTGTGGGCACCTCATACATCAACATGCCTTTTGCTCCTGGCCTCTTCCCTCTCTCACAGATGACACATTTGCCTTCTGGCGGGGGCTGAAGGACGCTGGCTTGCTGGACGAGGTTATACAGGAATTCCAGCAGGAGCTGGAAGAGACCATGAAAGGCCTGCAGCAGCGGGTGCAGGACCCCCCGCTGCAGCTCCGAGGTGAGGAGGTCTGAGGGTTCCTATTGCCAGCTGCCTCCAGGTCCTGCTCTGCAGCTGAGATGCACAGAGGAGAGCTGGCAGTGGGAGGGTCATTTGGTGTGCATCATGCTAGGTCTCTTCGGAGCTGACTGCTGGCTAGATTGCAGAGGGGCCAGCCCAGCTCTGGGTTCCAGGCTCTCAGGTTTTTGCTGTGTTCACACCGCTCCTTTAAGATGCTGTCCTCCTCAACAACATCGTGCAGAACTTTGGCATGCTGGACCTGGTGAAGAAGGTGTTGGCCAGCCACAAGTGCCAGATGGATCGCTCACGGGAGCAATATGCCCGGGACTTGGCAGGTATGTCCTGTGGCATGCTGGGAGTCCGGGGAGGCCTCACATCTCTAGTCCTGTGTCCCCCACTTTCCTAAGACACAGCCCCGGTGGTGGGCTTTTCCCTGTGGCCTGGGCGATGGAAAGGTCACAGGTGTCACACAGAAAAAAGTAAAATTTCAGTGGCTATGCAGACTTCACCAGTGATGGTCAGGGCCCACCTCGGCGTTCACTAGCCTCTCTGTGTGAACCAAGTTGTTCATACTTAAGAGAGAAAGCAGAGAGATGAAAAGACCACGGTTGCAGGGAGAGCTGATGGGCCCTGTGCTGTCTGTGCATTTGTTCCAAGTTGTTCCTGAAGTTGCTACTCATGTGCAGGCACTGCACGTGTGTGGGAACAGCCACCTTACTTGGCTGCTTTGGCCTGAAGAGTAGCTTTCCATGTGACACAGCCTGGGACACACTGGCATCAAGGGAAGTCTGGCCCACAGCACTTCCACATGGGAACTGTGGGCCTGAGTCAGCCCAAGAGCCATCAAGAGGCCCACTGCAGCAACCTTCCTATGGCGTGGGGTCCTGTGGTCATCTGGGTTGCTGTTAGTTTGTGATCCACTTGCTGATGTGTTGTCTGTCCCCACGGCCCTCTGAGAGTGCCGTCCACCCCTCTCTCCGTGCCCCACGGCCCTGTGCGGATGCCGTCCACCCCTCTCCCCGTGCCCCACGGCCCTGTGCGGATGCCGTCCACCCCTCTCCCCGTGCCCCACGGCCCTGTGCGGATGCCGTCCACCCCTCTCCCCGTGCCCCACGGCCCTGTGCGGATGCCGTCCACCCCTCTCCCCGTGCCCCACGGCCCTGTGCGGATGCCGTCCACCCCTCTCCCCGTGCCCCACGGCCCTGTGCGGATGCCGTCCACCCCTCTCCCCGTGCCCCACGGCCCTGTGCGGATGCCGTCCACCCCTCTCCCCGTGCCCCACGGCCCTGTGCGGATGCCGTCCACCCCTCTCCCCGTGCCCCACGGCCCTGTGCGGATGCCGTCCACCCCTCTCCTCGTGCCCCACGGCCCTGTGCGGATGCCGTCCACCCCTCTCCTCGTGCCCCACGGCCCTGTGCGGATGCCGTCCACCCCTCTCCCCGTGCCCCACGGCCCTGTGTGTCCCCACAGCCCTGGAGCAGCAGTGTGATGAACACCGCCGCCGTGCCAAAGAGCTGAAGCACAAGTCCCAGCACCTCAGCAATGTGCTCATGACGCTGACCCCGGTCTCCCTGCCATCCCCTATGAAGCGGCCCCGGCTTGCGCGGGCCACGTCAGGACCAGCTGCCATGGCTTCACAGGTGCTCACACAGTCTGCACAGATTGCCCTTGCCCCAGGCGTGCCCATGTCTCAGCTGACCAGCGTGCCGCTAGGCAAGGTGGTCTCCACGCTGCCCTCCACGCTGCCCTCCACGGTACTGGGCAAAGGCTCCCCGCAGGCTCCCCCAGCCACTTCACCGGCTTCCCCACTGCTTGGGGGCTACACAGTCCTGGCCTCCTCAGGCTCCACCTTCCCCAGCACGGTAGAGATCCACCCAGACACGTCCAGCCTCACGGTGCTGAGCACAGCTGCCATGCAGGACGGGAGCACGGTGCTGAAGGTGGTCAGCCCGCTGCAGCTACTTACCCTGCCTGGCCTGGGCCCCACCCTGCAGAGTGTGGCCCAGGCAGCACCGGCAGGCAGCACGATCGTGACAGTGCCCACGGCGGCCGCCCAGGGGCCTGAGGAGCACACAGCCACCATCGAGGTGGCTGCTGTGGCAGGGGACCATGAGCAGAAGTAGCTGGCGGGGAGGGTGAGCCCCTAGGGTGTGGACCGGCTGGCTCTCCTCAGACCACTGCGGGCAGAGGCTGCGGGGCTGGCTCAGCACAGGCAGGTCTCAGGGGCTGAACCAAAGAGAGGAATTGCCAGATGAATCAAGAGAAGAAGAAAAAAGGGACAGAATGATGCCAGCAACCTGGAAAATCAGTCTTCAAGTTCAAAACTTACTCCCCTTTTTTCTTGGGAAATATACTTTTCCATCTGTTGCTTATTATCCTGTTTACACATTGGGCCTTGAACAGGAGGTGGGGGGCAAGGACCAAGAGGAGGCCTGGGTGCGCCCCGTGACGCGGCAGACCTGTGGCGGCGGCCTGAGACCCTGTAGTCACTGGTGGCGCCAAGGCCCAGCCGAGCCCTGGTGCGCCCCGAGCAGGCCTTCTGGGCACATTACTGACACATGTCTTGGGGACTGAACCCAAGTGTGGTAACCCATGGATCCTATGGATTTGGTTTCTTCCCACAGTTTTCTGTAGGTTTAGTGTAGCCAGTGCCCACTCTCCTGCTGGCGTGGGACACGCCCCCAGGGCCAGGGTGCAGACCCCAGGTGGGGCCCCTCTCCTCTCCCTACAGGTGCTCAGGTGTGGTCTGGGCGTCTTTGCACATGGGTTGCAGGTGTTTCTAAGTGAATTCCTTAGTAGGCTTCTAGGAAGAATCAAATTTATAGCATTTTCAACCAAAATAATGCTGAGTGCCTAGGCTCCCGAGTTGGCCCTGAGAAGGGCCAGGGCTGCGCATGCACTGCTCAGTGCCAGGGTCCTGGGCAGATCCCTTCCCAAGACCAAGCTTTGCGGAGGGTTTCTGTGGGGTGTGCCTTCAGACTTGGAGTGGCTCAGAAGGCTCTGGTGTACAGCCTTCTGTTGGAGCCCCCATAATAGCCCTCATCTCCCTGAGTTTCCCTGGAGGTGGAACCGAGACCCCCCCCCAGCTGACAGCGTTCCCCATCCCCAGAGACAGCCCCAGGGCCTACGGGGAGGCTGCCCAGACCCTGTTCAGGACAAGGTAGGAGAGGTGGGACCCGGAATGCTGAAGGGGGGTATATGGGAGGTGAGGGAGGCTGTACTCCAGGCCAGAGCCCCTGGAGGCAGGTGTTCAGAAAGAACAGAGCCCTGGCTACTGTGGGTGCGGCACCTTAGACTGAGCCTCAGGAGTTGTCTCCAGACGTTGCTGCTGGCTCTGTCGATGGGAGCTCTTCCTTTCTGGGGCGTTGCAGCAGGAGAGGGCCTGCCATTCCATCCACTGCTTTGAAGGGAACTGGCCACCCTTTTGTCCATCTCTCCATCCCTGGGACTGCCCGGGCCTCCCCTCCACACCTTTGCTGTGACCCGGGCCCCTCCCGCCTCCCCACACCGTGTCAAGCTACTGAGGTTCAATCTCGTTTTCCTTCTGTTACACCCTTGTTCACTGTGGTCATGATCAGTTGGTTTTGGCTGATGTTTACCTGTTTGTGTACATACTCTTTTTTTTTTTTTGAGTTGCAAGCCCTGTTTCATGTGGCACTGTGACCCCACGGCCATCAAGAGTCTGCAGGGCTGGTGCTGCCTGGCAGGCTCTCCGGTCCCCACCCCACCAGCTCAGATTAGAGTAGATAGTGTCATCAGTAAAACACCTCCTGCCCTGGGAGCCAGGGGCTTGCAGGGCCTTTCCTTGGCCCATGTCCAAGGTGCTCTCTCTGTCTTTTGAGTTGTGGGTCAGTTTCCCTTCTTTGTAAGAACAAGATTGGGACCTTTTCAGCCCTTACCCCTTAGTCCATGGAGGTACTGGAAGTTGAAGTTAATTTCAGAGCCATATTAAAAAAGAGCCCCAACCAGCTTCGGGATTGATTCCCAGTTCCTCCGCCCTCCTGTAGCCACCCACAGACCTCTCTCCAGCCTAGCCTCTTGGGCCGTTCCTGGCAAGGGAAGAGAGGAAGCCCAGCCCTGGGGGAGGAGGTGTGGCCAGTGCCCCACCGCTTGCTGGTGCCTGCCTCCTGTAGGCCCTGCGGGCTCCTCAGGGTCCCCGGCCTCCCTCCCTGGCCAGCCCTCAAGAGGAAAGAGCCCTCCTGTCACGTGCAGACACGGGTGTTCATGGCTGCCTTGTGTGTGGGTTTTGCAGAGGGTACAGGCTTCTCCTTGGGCCTGTCAAGGGGCACTGGGAAAAGCAGTGTTTGAGTTCCACTTTGTGTGTTGTTTTTGCGAGCATCTGCTTGGTACTTTAATTTGAAATAAAAACTTTTTTTTTCCTAATATATGTGTCTGTTTGCAATGAGAAGCTGTGTGGAAGGCAACGATTTGAACTTTGAACGACGCCCCCAGTGGGTATTGCCAGCTTGTCCCAGGTGGGCCTGCATTCTGAGTCCTCTTCATGCCTCCAGTTGTGGTCTATGGCCCGTGACCCGAGCATCCTAAGCTGCAGCAGCTGGTGTAGTACCAGGTGCCAGTATGCAGCGAGGTTTCCTGAGCCTTACCTGGGCCCTGAGCACCTTCACTCTGCTGCTGCATCAGACTCCCACAGACTGTGAGGTCCAAGTCCAGGGTTCACTGTGACTGGGGATGTTCTGAGTCCTGAGGAAGAGCCTTGATCCACAGCTGGGATCCCAAGGAGAGCCATTCCTGTCAGACCGGTTCTGTGCCCTTTCTGCTGACCTTGCCCCGGGCCCCATGGGTCTCAGGATTCCACTCTTGAGTTTGACACTCTCCATGTACTTTGAAAGTCAGGGTGGAGGCAGCCTTGAAGTAGGTGTGTCTTCAGCTCTGAAGACCTGTCCTGATTGCCGCCCTTCCTTCCACACACACACACTGCTTACGTGGAGCTTGTGGATGTGTCCTGGACCTTTCCTGTCAAGTTCACACTTGGGCAGCTTCATGTCTGCTGCCTCCCCCGACCCACAGAAGATCTGAGGCACCTCAGATTTCATGGGTCCAAAACAGAATTCCTGCTTACTTTTCTCTCCTAAACCTGTCCCTTCCACTAATCCTCGTCTTTGCAGGGAGGGATGCCCACAAGCATCCAGGTGCTCAGGCCATCTTCCTGGAAGCTCACCTGGTCAAAGCCCTTCCATCTCTCTGGCCAGGAGGACCTCCCTGCCCTGGCCTCTGCCTCACACTCTGCATTGCCAGTTTGCCTATGTGATGGTCTCTCCTGGTCACTCAAGTGCCAGTAGTGCCTGGGTCACTTCTGCTGTCCCTAAGAGGGCTGTACCTCACTGATAGACCTTGAGATACCATCTTCCTGACATTTGGGGGTCCATGCGGGCTGTAGACTATGAATCTGTGAGCTTAGAAGAGCTACCTCTTGCCTCTAAGTATTGAGTAGATGTCCCTTAGGGCAGGCTCCAGCACTGGCTGTCATGGGTTGAGAATGAAGAAGTGAGGGGCAGCCTGCCTGCTCGGACTCCTTGTACTGCAGAGTGCAGTGTACCAGGTGGTGCTCAGAAATAGTCTGCTGTCTGGATAGACCTGTTTGTCTATCTAGCTTTGGCTACTGTGAATAAAGCCGTTATCAGCCACTGTGTTCTGGTGTTCGTGTGTTTTCTTTCTGCTTTTTTCTTAGCATATGTTAATTATGCAAAGGAGTTCCGTTGTAATATTCCCATATATACTCATAATGCACTTCAGTCAAATTCATCCCCCTTTATTTACTCAAAGGAAGTAGAAAACACATTAGTGTGCTTTGATATTGTCACTTTTTCTTTTGAGTAAATGCTCGTTTATATGGTGAGGCTGCTGACTTTGTAAGAGATTATCAAATTGTAAAGTGGTGCAGAGCAGCTGTTCTGATTTGCATTCCCACCAGCAACAAATGGGGAGTTCCTGTTGTTCCACATCCACACCAGCCTCTGGTACCCTCAGTACTTTGAAATGTAGCTATTGTAATAGGTGTACAATGGTATCTCATTGTTTCATTCTGTGTTATTGAGACACAGGCTCTCGAGCTAGTGTCAAGCCTAGACTGGCCTTGAACTCAGCCTCTCTAGTGCTAAGATTACAGGTGTATACCACCATGCCTGTCTTTGTTACCAATTGTAATCAAATGTATAAGTCCATAACGATGTATGACTGATCTGGAGTAACTTCATATATGTTTAACATTGTGCACATCTCCTATTGGGAAATATCTGTGTCTTTTACCCATTTTTAATGTTTCATTTTCTTATTCAGTTTTCTTCTGATTGTGGTTTTTCTTTTCTTTTTCTTGGCAGTGCTGGAACAAACACTCTACCATTGTGTTAAATCCCCAATCTGTCTTTTTGTTTTTGTTTTCTTACCAATACCAATTGGAGATCAGAGACTCGTGGATGTTTTTGCCTGGGCAGGCTTTGAACCATGATTTTCAGATCTCAGCTTCCTGAATAGCTAGGATTACAGGAATGAGCCCCTAGTACCTGCTCATTGGCTGGTATCTTTTGAAGAGCAATTACAAAAAATATTTCTAGCTAGGCGCCAGTGGCTCACGCCTGTAATCCTAGCTACTGAGGAGGCTGAGATCTGAGGATCGTGGTTCAAAGCCAGCCTGGGCAGGAAAGTCCATGAGACTCTTATCTCCAATAAACCAACACAAAACTGGAAGTGGTGCTGTAGCTCAAGTGGTAGAGCATTCACCTTGAGCTGAAGAGCTGAGGGACAGCGCCCAGGCCCAGAGTTCAAGCCCCACAACTGACCAAAACAAAAAAAATTCTGAAGCCTAATTTATCAAAATTTTTCTTAATACTTTTCATGTCTTTCAAAGCCTTCATAGCCTACGAGGCTGTGGGGCGCTCTGGGTTTCTCTTAGCAGCTCTATGGCCGCAGATGATTTCTCTTGAGCTGATTTTGGGTCTTCCCTTCAGTGGGTCTATCTGTTGGGAACACCCTCTGTGGGCCTATGCTGGAGTGACCTTGGCAGCTGTCCGGATTTCTACCACTGGGAAGAAATGTGTAACCAGCACACTCTCCCCCACACTGAGTGCACTCTTCCATCCAAGGTTTGACTTCCTGTCTGGGAGGGAGGGCCCAGGGCGGACAAGGTAGGTGTCAAAGTGCTGCTTGGATGAGTCACACCAGCTGAGAGCACAGGACTGCTGGGCCGCGGCTGGGCCTGACCTTGGGACCAGGACTGGCAGCAGAGCTGCCCAGTGAGTGGCAGAGGGTGTGATGTGTGGGCTGCCTTTAACCTCTGGGCCATATACATGGGAGGAGGCTTGGTTCACGGGAAATGAAACTAAGGGCCCAGTAGGAAGATAGTTTGTCTTTATGAAGAGTTGGAAACATACTGCAAAGAACTGTACCTTTTCATTGATTTGGATTTTTTCCATCTGTTGCTATAGTATTTATAAATCTGTATGTGTACACATGTACATACATGTATGTACATGTATGTTTATGTATATGTATATTTATTATACACATACACACATCTACATATACATATTCCTGAACCCTTGGAGAATAAGAGGCTGTGACCTTACCCTAACATTATGGTGTATGTTTTCCAAGAACAGGGATCTACAATGTGAAAGCCGGGATTTGACCCTGATATGGGCATGGAGCCTTGATTATTAAGTATAGATATTATTGATATTGGCATTAAAACTGTGTTAACTCTACTGAGTTCATACTTTTTCTTCCTCTTAGCATCAGCTTTGGTTTTGCATGCTGTATTTGTTGCGGGGTGTTGGATGAACACTTGGATGCAAGGACGTGTTGGGCATGCCTGCTTTCAGCCAGGGCACTGGGAGGACAGGTGCCCTCTGCTGGGACAGGAGGACCTTTGGAGGAGCAAGAGGGTAAGACTTGGGGCCAGGATTTTGTGGAATGCATATTGAAGAGGCTGAGGGATATGAGTGTCTGGGGAATAGGAGAACATGGGTTCTAAGATTAAATGCAGGCAGATCTGGCCTGGTCTGGTCTGGGAGGCCAGTGGGCAGGAATGGTGGTTCTGGCTTTAGCACAGTTGAGAGAGGCCTGAGAGCTGTCTGTCCATGGCAACATTCTAGGCCCATGTGCAGTATCTACACAACTTGTACCTGAGCCGATACGTTTTGCTGATCATTTCCATTAAGGAGATCCACACTTGGTACAAAAACCAAAACCAAAGGTGACTGGGTACTGGTGGCTCATGCCTGTCATCCTAGCTACTCAGGAGGCAGAGATCTGAGGATTGTGGTTCTAAGCCAACCTGGGCAGGAAAGTCAGTGAGACTGCTATCTCCAATTAACTATCAAAAGCCAGAAGTGGAGCTGTAGCTCAAAGTGGTAGAGCACTAGCTATTAGGAAAATGGAGGAGAAAGGAAGAAGACAAACAGGACTCGATCTTTCACAGGTGATGAAGTTTATTGAGATATAGCAGTAAAGGGCACAGCCTTCCCGTGGGCATGGAGACTGTTTAAAGAAGTGAGGTCTGAGTGAGGAGGCAGAGGTGAATGGGGGGTGAGGGCTTTTCTGTTAGGCCTCCAATGGGTTGTTTACAGCGGGCTGAGGTAGATTACCCTGCCTGTGTCAGGCAGTCTGCACCTGTCTTTGGAGGTTTGCTTGATGTCTGTATGCACCCAGGAAAACAGGGTGGGCGTCAATCCTTCACTAACGTTGAGCAAAAAAGCTTAGGGACTGTGCCCAGGCCCTGAGTTCAAACCCCAGGATCAGCACAAATAATAATGATAAAACAACAATGCTGCCAAAGCCAAGAGAGAACAGCAAGTTTCCCACCTGCCACAACCAGTTTACTTCTGATTTCTGTAATAGGTTCCTGTACTTTACAGGCTTTTTGGTTCCTTTCTGTATCCATGGTTACACACACCTCAGTTCCTCAGCCAAGTGCCTTGGGAAACAGTTGC